AATGGGTCATGGGACCCACGGTAAGAACGAAGTTCTTTAAAAATGAGATGAGTATAGACACAATTTCTCAGGTAACAAGGGGGTCGCCAGACCCACAGGAAGAACGAAGCTCTGTAAACGTTCGGATTGCATTCATGTTGTTTACTCAAACAAAAACTTGAAAAACGAATAAAAAAAACAATAGTTTAGTACTCACGATGGTTGAACTTCATGAAAACGTCGTGCATAAATACAGTTCTCACGAAGTTCAACCATCGTGAGTGCCACCTTATTGTTTTTTTTTTTTATTTCATTCGTTTTTCAAGTTTTTGTTTGAGTAAACAACATGAATGCAGTACTAACGTTTACAGAGCTTCATTCTTCCTGTGGGTCTGGTGACCCCCTTGTTACCTGAGAAATTGTGTCTATACTCATCTCATATTTAAAGAACTTCGTTCTTACCGTGGGTTTCATGATCCATTAATACCCCCTGGTTTTTTTTATTTTAAGGCTTACTGTTCATTTCCGATGCTAAGAACCATGTTTTACTATTTTTGCAATTTTTTTTGAAGCCTTAGCGGAAAATATTTTTTGTTCGATTTTATTACAATCGATTGGCACTGTTTATTTCTGTACAACATATTTTTTACAAGCTAGTCTGAATTTCCATTGCCGAAAAGCTAATTCGATTCCACTATAATAGATCCATAGACTTGGTATGCCCGAAACGTTAAGAGCCATGGATTTACGCAAATTGTAGACATATAGGTATTTGAATTAAGAATCAGTTGGTGTTTGGGTCTCTCATCATGAAGTTATACTTTTATAGCAGACAATATATTAATGAATAAATATATAATTTATCATATTTTATTAAAGAACATTTTAAACAACCTTTGCCTTCCGTAAAAATATTTTGTATTTCCATTAAAACATAGTAGATTTCTGTGAAAATATTCTTTTCCACAAAAATATCTAATAAAACGATATTTTTAATGACCTTCATCTAATGTAATGTATAAAATGTGGTGAAATTGTCCTTGAAATTAGGATATTCGATATTAAGGTGTGAATAAAATGAGTATTTTAATATTAAATAAACAATAAAACAAGTACTTCATGTAGATGAAAAAATAACTAAGTTAAACTATGGCACGATATGCTGTTAGACTGGCCAGTACGAAACTGCCTGCTTTCACCAGATCTTTTGACTATTTTTAAACAATTTTTTACGCTGATAAAATCTAACGTCACTTTTACGCATACTCATTTGTAGCTGCGTATATAATACCACGATATACACTAGAAAAAAGGTGAAGAAGAAAGATCCTGCAGTACCACTCTATCTTAAATAATGTATTGTTATATGCCAGTAAATTTAGCTCGCCTCAAAAAATTATTTTTTCACGAGCGAAACATTTTGAAACGATAAGATGCAATAAAAACTAAGTAACTTCATGCATAGAACCTCGTGTAAAGAAGCTTATAATAAAAACATTTCCAAATAATGTAATACTTTTCTTGAAAATATTTTAATAAATGATAAAATGGAATGAACAGCTACTTCTTTATGGCAGTATTAAGAAATATATCAAAGTCAAATAAGGTACTTATACATCGAAGAGCTGTTGCTAAAAACTATTGTTTCAATTTTGAAGAAAGTTTGGAAGTGCATAAATAATTAATCAATGTTAATGAATATTTAGAAACAATTTAATGAATAAGCAGTAAACGAATTTTTTCACTGAAAGAAACATTTAAACCACAGCAAATATGCAATGAAATGCGACTTTCTATGAAAGATCGACTATGGCCAAGTAATAACGGTCCTGGGCTTTTATGTTGTTGTAAAAATTCTATACAACAATAAAATAGTGATAATCGTACAGTATCTATAACTAAACTCTCACTGAATATTAGCTGACTACATTCTAAATAATAATTAGACACTTAACTCGTAAAGATAGGTACGTTTGCGTCAATTATTTTAAAGATGAAAAACACTTATGGATTGATGAAATCATATTTTATACAAATTGTTGTGCTTAGAATATCGTTGCCTGATTTGAGACCGATTTGTATGGACTTGCTTAAGTCGTATGCTAAGAAAAACTGATCAGTACTTGAGACTGGTATACATTTTTATTATACTTTCATACAAATAACAGAGAACTAGCAATAACCTAGTACATTATAAGATCATTGAAGAAAAGTAATGTTTGAACATCATTAATTTTTTCATTAATGATGAATAAAATAATGTAACACGCCGAAAACTATGGTCATTTTAACGTACATCAAAATTTCAACACAGGAGAACCTCAATTCTTTTATGTTTATGTATTAGTACAAGGATCAGTATATAAGTAATCACTGGTTTATATCTTTCAACTACCTAAGCTTATTAAAAATTATGGCAACAATCACTTTATAACGTTCTACATCATCATAGAATTTGACAAAAACGCATAAGACCCGTCATTATTATCTTATTTATTAGACTTTAAAATTCTTTTATTTTCCATGTGCAAATTTTCACAGTAATAACAATTCTGTATTTAAGATGAGCGATACGATTATAGCTAAGAATCTTAGAAAAAATGCTTAGGAAAAAGATAAAATTATTTAAAAAAGAAGATCTAACTATGTACCAAGTAAAATTACAAAACGATTTGCTATGGAAGAGATATCACTTAAAAACAAGTATGCTCATTTCGACATCTAACTCAGTTTCTAGCGAGTCAAATGGCTAAGATGTAATGAATAATGACGCCGCGCGTAATACTCCTGTTAACATTAAGCTGTAACTAAAATTTTTTTCCAAGTTTCAAGGACAACACTCATAATGTATCGTTGAGGCGATCCAAGTGAACTTCCAAATTGCCGGAAAGATTAAACTGATAGCGATCTTTTGCTTTTAGGGGGAAATTTTAGGATTTCTTATTGATTTAAACAAATATTAGAAGCCACTATTTTCTCAGTTTGATACATTTTTTATCTGATAACTATTATGAGTTATTAACTAATAACCCATTTGTTATCTACCACGGCTCATCTTCCAGATTTTCGGAACATTTTTATCTGCTTCCAGGGACAACTCATATGGGCCACTCGAAATCATGCGAATAAATTTGGTTGTCCAAGACAAATTATTATTGATTTACACTTTACAAGGCTTTTAAATAAGTTGTCTAACTGACTTGTGTATTTTTAGTACTTTTTTTACTGGCGTCATTTATATTTATCATATCAGTTTCAGAAAAATTATGTTAAATAATTAATTTTTGTGTCAATAATTAAAAAAAAAAGTATCTTGGTAAAAAGTTTTACAGTTGTCATAGAAGTTTGAAAATAGCAGTGCAAAATGTAAGAATATTAATTCACTGATATGGACCATAACATACGAATAGTCCATGACAACGATATAATACTTCATAGTCATGCAAATAACATAAAAAAAAAACTTTCTGTATTTTTTTGAATTTTTTTTGTTACACTTTTAAGGAAAAAGTCCAAAATAAGTCAATTTTTTATGAAAATCGTATAATTTTTGACACACCTAATGAGATCTCAAATTGTGAGGTTTTCATGTATAATTGCATCGTAAAAATATCAATATAAAAAGGTAAAAATTATAAAATAACATTCTGCTTGGGCTTAAAAAGCGTATCTTCTACACAAATGACGAAAATGTCCACTTAAAGTTTAAATTCATAGAGATTAAAAAAAAAAAAGATTTCCCGTAGAGGGAAAAAACTATGATTCATGATGGATCCATGAATCCATACTAATATCGTAATAACCAGTTACCCAGGAGGATAAACATTGTGATAGCAGAAGGGAAAATATCCGTTAGTTTGAATACTTACTAAGAGATAAAATTATCCAATATTTTAATCATCAACCAAAAAAAACATACGTACATGTAAAAGTAGATGCTTAACTTTATTTCTTTTTCTGCCCATTAGACATCCACCATTTTCACATCCATAAAGGTAAAAAAACCAATACGACAAACAGAATATTTCTAACAAATTTCATTAAATTAAATCATAACACAAAGTCTTATTATCAATGCCTTCTATGGTCCTGGAACTAAGGTTTTGGTTGTACTCCTGCTGCATTCTTTCCAAAGTATTTTACAAAAATTTGAGAAAAAGTACTTTGCATCAGCATGCATCTTTATCGTCAGGTGATGCCAATAGCAATCCATGTCTATCGTAGCAGCAAGCTTGGCAAATGGTAGAAAGTATCACCAGGTCAAGCAAACGAGAAGAACATTATATAAATATTATATATATGTATATATATATATATATACGTAGTAAGCAGATTATACAATCGGAGCACGGTAACTTGGTGGGAGACTCCAGTCCAGTGCTTCTTGCGGATCTTCTCCAATAGAAGACTGTAAAATAAGGTGCACTAGAGCAGAGTCCACTGATAAGAAGACATGAGCCCCTCTAGATATCCAAGGAGGAGGAGGAGGAGGAGGAGGAGGAGGCATTCAACAGCGCTTCAGATATGCTCTCAAAAACTGAGGAGAGCATCGAGCTAGTGTAGAAATACATCGTGACAGTCGATGCGTCATGAGCGCAGTTCAGCACAGCACTGGTTAGTTAATATTTTCATGGTAACTCGTAGCAGTTGTGATCGCACGTACAGTATTTTATTACTTGCAGTAGATAAACAACTAAATGGTGGTGCCCTTTTTTCACCATTATAGAAAACTGTGTGATTCCCCAAGAGAACTAAGTCAGTTTTTTTTATCCTTGTGACACATCTAATCAATTTCTATATAAGAGTTAGGTCAAAGTGAAGTGTTGTGATGTTATTTTGTGTGACGAGAAGCATCTTTACAAGTTAGCCAAGTGGCGCCTTTTTTGTCAATATATAAAGTGTGCTTCGATAGTAACCGCAGTCCTGTAGACATAATTACTAATTCTAATATGCGAGAAAACAATAGCACCGGTGAGAATAAGGAGGAGAAGGAGGAGGAGTACGGTCTTGGCTATGACCACACTTTGGTAGGTATCTTGTTTAGTCACTCATAGAGTTTTTTTACTCTGGGCCATTTTTCTTTACCTTTGGACGTTTAATCGACCCTTAGTAGGAGAAAAAGTGTTTGCCCCTATGTCATTTCTTATCCACTGAGACATGGAAAATTGTGTACAATCTAGAACTGAATGTAAAGATTTGTTCATTTTTCGGCATATACATGATGTACTATTTTCCATTCTCAGATTTAGAATGGTGCTTGCATTTTCGGTATTTCATACGCAGTATATCCATAGTCTTGGCATCAGTACGCTTGGGTAAACATGTTTCAGTTTTTTATGCGATTGTCGGTTATAGAGTGGCTACTAATGCTATCGTATTACATATGTACTATAGGTAGCACGCACGCATGTATGTACGCTTGTGCTCTTTCATTCAGCTCAGTCCACAGTGATACAATGTAGTCCGAGGGATATCGTTAATCTACCGGGAAAAATTAATAGGATGAAAATTTTTGCGCCATTTCATAAAAAACGTGCTCCTGTATGAGGAAGTACAGTTTTCCAGGTGCCAATGTGGTCAGATATTGTTGAAACCAATTTTTTTTTGTTAACAAGTTCGTCAAAGTTGCTTTTTAGTCTGAAAAAACATTTTCATATTCTTTGGCACATTTGTAACAAAAAAAAATAAAAAACTTTTTGGGATGTATATACTTAAACCCCACAGTTTTCGAGTAAAAAATTCCCAAGGTTTCGAAAAATGCATTTTTTACGATTTACAGGGCTCTACAAGACTACTTAATAAAGACATTTTTATATGTTACAACACACAAACATAAACTTCAAATCTTCTTCTACAACGTTAAAAAAAAAAAATTTTTTTTTAAATTAACCGGCAACATTGTTTTTTGCAATAAACATTCAGGAAGTTTCATCGTGCGCGTCCGTATTAGTGTATACCTATGTATACGTGCTTACAGTTCGTGGCTCAGCGTAATCATACAAATATAGGTATGTAGGTACAGTGGGCGCGTACGCTGAAACTCCCTAAACGTTTTTTTGCAAAATACAATATCGTCACTCAACTTTTCGACTTTTTCTTTTCTGGAGATTGTAGAGGAAGATTTGTAGTTTATGTTCGTGTGTTGTAACATATAAAAATGTCTTTATTCAGTAGTCTTGTAGAGCCCTGTAAATCGAAAAAAATCCATTTTTCAAGACTTTGGAAATTATTTACTTAAAAACTGTGGGGTTTAGGTGTATACATCCCAATTAGTTTTTTGTTACTAATGTGCCAAAGTATGTGAAAATGTTTTTTTAAATTAAAAAAAACAACTTTGACGAATTCGTTAAGAAAACATTAGTTTAAACAATTTCTGACCACATTGGCACCTGGTTAATTTTACTTTCTCCTACGGAAGCACGTTTTCGATGAAATGGCCCAAAAAATGTTCATCCGAATAATTTTTCCCGGTAGATTAACGATATCCTCAGACTAATTGGAAAAATAATTATTAATAGATACGTACTGACTATGTCCGTGTGCAGTAATTTAAAATGGAGCTACTTTCAAGGAAAGAGAAGGCAGTACCTATTGGATGATAAAACATACTTACATTGCTTAAAAACGTTTTTTCTTAAGGGTGTAAAAATTGTTGCAAGTTAAACAAGCACTTCTTTTGTACATTGCATTTGATTTTTCTCATGTTTCAGATTACTGCACATGTAGCTAATACATAAGTATGCGTAAAATATTGTAGGCATACAATAAGGTCATGTGCATACCGATAACTGCTTCCAACTTATAGAATGTGCAACCAGCATGCATAAGATTCATTGTAGATAATATTTGTCAAGTGCATGAGGTTGCAAGCACTATGCTTGTGCTGGGTATTCCAATATAATACGCACTTTTATGGGCTGGGGGACTGAGTTGCTGGTGACTGACGCATAAACTATTTCTTTTTTTTTTTTTTTGAGATTTATCATGAGTTCAGCGGACTAACTGAGAATAAGTCGTGTCATGAACCTGGAGAATAGATGCAAGCATCTATTTATTTCTATCCCTTCGTATCGAACATCTAACATAATATATTCTTATACTGTTACTTAATAACGAGAGAAACAATTGTTTTTAACTAATACGTAAGTGTGTATTGTATATGTATAGATTTAGATGATACACTTAAACAGTGTACTCAAGAGAAAATCTTACAAATGTTTTACTGCAGTCTGACCAACCAATGAAGAGATCGAGAAAAACCAATAAAAGAAAAAGCCGTACTGACACTTCCACAGTGTTCTACTTCTGAACAAACATAAGCGACTTTCTTTTGCATTTATTAAGTATACTTGCTACTGTCAACGAGATACGGGCAAAAATGACTTACGTTTATAATTTTAACATTAGTGGGCCATCAATTCTTTATTTTAAATCTCTGTTGACTGGCCTGAATTGACCTTGCATTGCCACCACTCGCGCAAAAACTACCTGTTCGTTATGAATTAATAAAACAAAAGTGGATTTCTCAAACGATCTGAAAATTTAGACATTAGCAAAAACTTAACTGTACTCTTTAAACTAAAAGACTAAATTTAGGTGGTAAAAGAAAAAGAAATTTTCAGGACAGAAGAAAAAAAATGTAATATTTATACTTTTTAAAAAAGTCATACTCTGTTTTTCTTTCTTTAAAAAAATAAAATTCTATTTTTCTGCTAGAAAAAAAGAAAAATAATAAATAAATAATGCTTTTTTTTCTTTTACAAAGATTGGATATGCAAATTTAGTCTTTGAAAAAAAAAATTGGTAACTTTAAATATGATAAATACTACACCGATGCCTTTATTCTCTTTCAAAAGGCAAATTGCTTAATTTCGAAACTACTATTTCGTTGGATAAGTGCCGTCGTCTCGGAGGCTATTTTACAGCACGAGGGACCTACGAAACAGGGCTCGAGAAAGGTAGGGTAGTCACGAAGCGATGGCGCTTATGTGGCGAATCCTATTTTTCCTACGGAGGGCACCAACCTCTCAAAAACGTCCGAGGTAGGAAAATATGCCTTGGACGAAAAACACTGCTTTAAAAAAACTACTGTAGTATTAACCATATGAGCACATCCCAGAAATTTTTCAATTTAAAAAGGTATTTTAGCCATGCAATATTAACTTAAAACTGTCTGAACAATTTTACTAGAGTACTGTACCAATTTATTTACTATACCTATCTACCAATTTTTTTTTTAGTTAAAAGTATTTTTTATCCCATCAAAACTAATTAGTTAATTATTTAATTCATAAGTGTGCTCAATAACTAATTTCAATTCCAATATATAATAATAATAATAATTTTTCTTCTACGTTTGTTTACATTCTTCATATTTTAAACGCATGTACGTAACCTTAACGTTTTCTACAATAATATATCGTCTTAACCTTATAAAGTATAAATTCTATGACTAAGTCTTTTGAAAGTAGAAACCTACTTATTCCATCTTTCTACCACCGATATTTAGTCTTCTGATTTTGAGCATAGTTTCAGGACAAGAACAATAAAAATATGTCAAAAAATTTAGGCTTCTTAGCATAATTAGAACGTGAGTTGTTAAATAAACAATTTGTTAAAAAGTAAGGTGGTTTTTTGCAATTTAAGGGTGCTCTGCTAGTTAAATTTTGCTTAATAAGGGTTTGTTGTATTCGTATATTTATTGGATATAGGATCTACAGTTTTTGTTCTATACGCAAAAAACTAGTTCTTATCATTTTCTGGCACTTTTCCTGACAGTAGTGAGTTATCAAAGGTATTTTAATCAGTTTGTATTTCTTAGATCTTCCGAAAAAATTTTTCTTGCTCCACTAGAAGCCATACGAATCAAAAACCTAATTCCACCTATGTAACTTAAGTACCTAAGAGTGTGAAGAGATTCAAGGGTCTTTGAATTTTTCTCTTACCCTCCAGCCTTTTAGTGCAGTCATGTAACAATAACGTATTGCATGTGAGCTGTTAACCAATTGAAAAATACAGTAAGGACATTGCTGCCATTAACGAGAAAATATTTTTCATCACTTACAAATATAGTCTTATCATTGAAAAATCACTGTCCAACTAACGTATCAGCTTCAAATGTTATTGAATTCATTGTAAAAATAAATTAAATTTTTTGTAGATGTTGGCTTCTAACTTCTTTCTTATGGTCTGATAAGAAAAGGATAAAAGCAAAACTGTTAGTGATGAAATTTTCTATCTATGACGGTTCTTCATAAAACAAATCGATTTTTCTTAAAAAGACGTTTTTTATCGCAGGTTACAATGGGATATTTACTCCCCATGTATTTCCTGTGTATAAGAACAGTTGACAATGGTACCCATCAGCCAGAAAAAGTAAGAAAAACTGTGCATCCCAAAGGGGAGGGGGAGGTACACAGTAGTAGTAGCGACACAACGAGAAAGAGGGAGAGAAACTCCCATTTTCGCTGGCTAAAACAAAAAAAATAAATAAATAAAAGCTGAACTGAAAAATTTGATGACAAATTAAATAAAAATACAATTTTTTCAAATGGATGTTATTTAATTGAATGGGAGCACTTGTTTGGTGCACATGCATACATACGACTGTCACGCACATCTAAGCTCAGGCACAATCACAGAACCAGTAGGAAATTGGTGGCAAATTTAAATATTAAAATTAATAAAATAAATAATATTGGTAGTATATAAGCTAGTTAATATTATTATTTTAATACAGTTCATCAACAAATAATTCTTGCATGTATGTCAGGTCAATGCAGATAGCCAGTATTGATTAAACAGGTATTTATAATATAGTATAACCTCCAAATATTACAAAATAAGCCATATCATTAAAAGGAAATGAGATAGAGCAAAAATTAGAAGTTTTACGGGTTTTTTAAAGGGAATAAAAATATCGTGACGCACAAAAACAGAAGCGCTGAGTTATGAAAAAAACATAATCTTAATTTTTGGTATTTTCGATGTACCTCCATAAAAGGAAGAGGGAAAATCGTGGAAAAAA